TCTTACTTCAGATGATGGATGCACCTGCAAATGTTGTTTGGCATGGATTGTTTTTCTTAATGAGTTGGAAAAAAATATTTTAGGTAAATATTTAAATAATTACAATTTTAGTTAAAATTATTACTATATAACAAAATTTTAAATTAAATACTAAAATAAATTATTAATAATAATAGTAATGGTTAAATTAAAGTAATAAACAGTTCAAGTTGAATTTAATGACCCGTATAATTTTACGGATTTGACATATAAGGGTCAATTTATATGGACCTGTACGTAGACTTTATGAGTGTCTTAAAAATGGTAGTTTATAAACAGTAATAAAAATGGTAATAAAAATTATTAATGTTTATTCATAGTACTTAATACGGGATCATTCACTAGTTAGTGACAAAATTAAAGAGCTAGGAAACACTAACCACAATAGAACAAGGATTCTGAAACACGTGGCAAGGGATTTTGAAGACGTTGCGCAATGATTTATTGGTTTTATTTATGGTCCTTCTATTAAGACTCAGCGTAATAGATTTTGGGCTAAACTTAATAAATGGCTTGAAACTATAGATCTGCCCTATGTTTTGATAGGAGATTTTAATGAGGCAAGATTAGTTGGGGTTCAGGACCCTAGTTTTTCCTCCACCCATGCCAGGAATACTTCAACCCAGTATAGGAATCTAATTATGGATCACAATCTGTTGGAGTTCGGAATATAAGGTGAGGGCTTAACTTGGTCAAATAAATGAACCTCAGGTATCCGTTTAAGAAGGACTCTTGATAGAGCTTTAACCTCTCCTGGATTTCAGCTTTCCCTAATGTTAACCATCACCCACTGATCCTGGATATTAGCCCAAAAAAACTAGTACCCTAGACCTTTCTGATTTTATGAAGTGTGGTTATCTGACAATTCTTGTAAAGAAGTCGTAAAGGATGGTCGAAGACTCCAAATTAATGGTCATGCAACTTAACTTACTTTGAAAATGTCCATCTAATCAAATCGATCCAAACTTAAAACTAAAGCAGCTGGAAGAACAAATTTTTGAGGTTGAACAATCTTCTCCCTGGGACCAAAATGCATGAATTATATAAAATGTATGAACTCATCTAAACCCAGGTGGAGAGCTTTTGGAGACAATGATCACTCTGGCTACAACTAGGAGACAAAAACACCAATTATTTCCATCGGAGTACCATATTTCGGCAGAAAAGAAATTCAATTGGTGGAATTAAAAAGATCAAGGAAATTGGGTGACAGAACACAAGAAAATTGTTGAAGTTTTTGTTTCCTACTTTTCCAACTTATTCACTAGACAAAATTCTAGGGATTTGAGCTTTATTTCAAGTTTGATCAATCCCATTGTTACGAAGGTAGATAAATTATCCCTAACACCAATCCCTCGGATGATGAAGTCAAAGGATCCCTTTTTAGAATTGGTAGCCTTAAATTCCAAGGTCTTGATGGCATGTCAGCCTTAGAGTATAAAGAATGTTGGGATTTGATGGATAATGAAATAATAGCTTTTGCAAAAGAAAATGTTGAGAAGATTGAATCATACCTTCATTTGCTTAATTCCTAAAAAAGTAGGTTGTACTCATGTTTAAGACTTCAGGCCAATCAATCTTTATTGTAATGTCTCATAGCTAAAATTCTAGTTAATTCTAACTTTGTACTATTTTGGATGAATGTATAGTCCCTACCCAAGAAAATTTTGTCCCAAGCCGTTAGATGCTTGATAATACCATCATTGCCCATGAGATTATCCATTTCCTTAAACATCAGAAAAGAGGGACAGGCTATATATTAAACTTGACATTTCAAAAGCCTATGATAGACTTGAATGGCCTTTCCTGCTAAGGTTTTGCAAGTCCTGGGTTTTCTAATGACTTCTGCTAACTCATAAGAGAGTGTATCTCATCTGTTTCCTTTTCTGTCCTCATTAATGGAACCTCTAAAGGTCATTTTAATTTTCCCCATCTAGGGGTCTTAGATAGGATGATCCTCTCTCCCTTACATTTTTATCCTTGCAATGGAGTGTCTATCCAGAATTCTTTATAAATTTTAAGAGAAAAGGGGTATAAAAGGAATTCAAATTGCAGTCGGGGATCCTTCCATTTCCTACATTTTCTTTGCGGATGATATTCTCTATTTTCTTAGAGTTCATTGTGAAGATATGGATAATCTTAGGAATTATTTTGCAACAATTCCAAACTGCCTCGGGTCAACTTATAAATTTTGATAAATTGGAATATATCTTAGTAAAAATATACATCCCAGGCATTAAAGAATGATAAGAAGACAGCTTCAAATCAAGCCTCTCTAAAATCACTCAAAATACATAGGGATTCCTCTTTTTAGGTCAAGGAACAAACACTCACAGCTGTTGTTCAATTCCTTATTGCTGGTGTGCCTGAAATAAATTGGCCCAAATAAGAAATTTGGGAGGGTTAGGGTTTTGAACAATAAAACTTGTCAATCAAGTGCTTCTTAAAAAAATAGATTAGAGATACCTCAATGAGCAACATAAGCTCTGGGTGCAGTTTTGTAAGTCTAAGTACCTTAAGAATAACCAACTTTTTCCTTATTCTATTACTTCTTCAAGTTCTTATTTCTGTAAATCCACAACACAAAAACTGCGTAACCTGTTTCCTGAAATAGGTTTCTTGGTTTCTACAAACTCGGATTAGAAAATTGACTAGGCTCCCTGGATTCAAGCTAGGGATGGTTTTAAAATGTTAGAATAGCCTATTTCCCCAAACCTTCGAAAATTTTCCTTTTCAGACTTAATCACCTATAATTCCTGGAATACAAATTTTCTAACTCAATACATCGACCAAGCTCAAATCCATGATATTTTGAATGGGAAAATCTATGATGCAGAAAAGATATGGTATGGAAAGAGTTTTGACCAATCAAATCCCATTCATGAATTTTGATAAATAACACCATGTTCCCTACCATGTTTATGATTCTGTTTTATTGGYCAATTGTTTTTCGGATATCATATCTTTTCCATATCATAGTTGAAAGACATTCATTCTTCCAGAATAAAACTCGTTTGTGTGGATTTGGACCCCTCACTCCTCAGGAAGGTTTTCTACAAAGCATGCTTATGCTCATCTCCAACAACCTAATCAAATCATGCCAAATGATAATCATAAACTTTGTTTAATATGGATTTGGAACTCTTTGACAGCTCCTCGATCCCAAATGCTCTTATAGAGGGTGATTAATATATATATATATATATATATATATAATAATAAAATTATAGATATATATATGTATATATATACATGTATATATATATAATAAAATTATAAAAAATAATATATATAATAACAATATTATAATTCTTAATTTTTTAAATATCAAATAAAAGTATTTTTATATATAATTTTTTGTTTTTATAAAATATTTTTTCTCAAAATTGAGCTCGAGCTCATCAAACCGAGCTCGAGCCTCGTACTATTCGGCTCAGCTCGGCTCGAATCCACCCCTAAATACCACTTATAATTATCCCTAGTTGAATTTTATAAAGGCACTTTTGCGAAAGCACTTTTATAAAAGTACTTTTATGAAAGCACTTTTACAAAATCAATTTTATAAAATTACTTGTACGAAAGCTCTTTTAAGAAAGTACTTTTATGAAAGCCTTTTATAAAAGCACTTTTATAAAATCAGTTTTATGAAAGCACTTTTACGAAAGTACTTTTATAAAAGCACTTTTACAAAAGTTCTTTTATGAAAGCACTTTTATGAAAGCACTTTTACGAAAGTACTTTTATGGAAGCACTTTATAAAAGTACTATAAAAGTACATTTACAAAAGTACTTACATAAAAGTGCTTTCATAAAGTACTTTTATAAAAGTGCTTTCATAAAAGTACTTTCACAAATGCTTTCGTAAGGGTACTTTCTTAAAAGTGCTTTCGTAAAAGTAATTTTATAAAAGTGCTTTCGTAAAAGTACGTTCATAAAAGTGTTTTTATAAAAGTACTTTCCTAAAAGTGTTTTTACAAAAATAATTTAATAAAAGTGCTTTCAAAGGGTATATTTTGAAAATTTGAAAGCAAATGGAGGACAAATAGTCACAAATGCTTATTTAAGTGCTTATTAGAGGAAAAAACTATCAAATGCCCAATATAAAATAAGTGCTTATTTTTTAAACTAAGCAGTTGAAAAAGTTGGGTGCCAAATGCAAATAAGTGTTTATTCGAATAAGCACTTATTTTTAAGCACTTGTTCAATAAACACTTATTTAAACTTAAGCACTCCTAAACATGGCCTAGATGTAATAAACTAYATTTATACTTGTGCAAGCTAATATAAAACTTTTATTTTTTAAAAAAGGGAAAATCTATGATGCAAAAAAGATATGGCATGGAAAGAGTTTTSACTTACCAAAACCCACCCATGAATTTTAATAAATAACACCTTATTTGCCACCACTTTTTGGTCAGTTGTTTTTCGGATATCATATCTTTTCTATAAGATAGTCCCCAACCCTTAAAAAATTCAGAAAAGAGATTGGAAGGGTATAGCTAATAATTTATATGAAAATAAAATTAAGAAAATAAACATTTTGATCAAAAGCAAATGTATGAATATTTTAAACATTTTCATATCTATTTTTAGAGGATTCTAAACAAAGGAGGTATAATTGCAATTCAAGGAAGGTAATTRTAATTTACACTTCAGGCGACGTTTCAACAACAATTAGATGGGCGGTTTCAACAATTTTCCCTTTATTAAGATAAGTGGACTGCAATCGATCTCTCAAATCTGAATTACAACCCTCTCCTAATCTACTAGTAGCCCCCTATAAACCCCATCTGCCCATGAATTTAATATCAACCCACGGCAGTATTCAGTCCAACCCTATAAATCATAGCTTAGGGTCTGGACTGAACTATAAAATCCCCTAGACATTCTACATAATGGATGATAGGGTACGCCTGTTAAACAGAGAGTTTGGTTCCTTTGAAATAGGATGATTATGATCAGACAGGTCTCTTATGAGTTACGAGGACTACCGTCATCATGGCTCCACAAGTGTTCAACCTCCCTGGTCAAATTGAAAAAAGCTGGACAGTTCCCTCACAAGGCATCTGTTGGAGAGTGTACTGAGGAAAGAAAGGAAAAGTATTTAAAGAATCAAAAGTGATGATGAGAAAAATGGGACCTACTGGGTCCTCCATTTCCCTCGGTGGAGCAGACTCCCCCATGGAAGCGGCAACGTCAAGCAAAGCAAACCCAGAAAGAAAGAAGAGGAACCGCCGACCAACCATAGCGTCATCATCGGTATCACCGACCAACCATAGCGTCATCATCGGTATCGATTTTTTTTTCATCCATTTTTTCACATTCAGTCTCACCTACTCCTACACCAACATCAACTCCCCGGTTTGCAGAAGCTCCAATTACCGATCTTCAACTGTAAGTTTCTCCTCAACTCTTCACCTATCTCTTAAGTTATTTTCTTTTAGGCAGTTAGAACCCACAAAAAAAAAAATAAATCATAGAACGAGAGGAATAATGGGCTCTCCACTGTTTCTTAATCAATTTTCTCTTTAAAACAACGTTGTTCTTGTTCTGGATTATTGTTTCCTCCTCCATTATGCAGGTGGTTGCTAACTCATCTCAGAACAAGAACCAAAATTAGAGAAGGAACATTTGTAAGAAGCTGAAGAAGTTGCTATTGCTAAATTGCTTTCGTTAGGATGGATTCTATTAATGAAATTACTGGGTTCTCTTACAATCCTAGCATGGAAGCTATGGGAGAAGCAGATGGCGACGAGGAGTTCTCTGGGATTCTAGAAATTTATGTTCATCATGCCAGGAACATCCATAATATCTGTATCTATGACAACCAAGATGTCTATGCGAAATTCTCTCTCACTTGCAGCCCAGACGAGACTCTTTCAACTAGAATTGTGAATGGGGGTGGAAAGAACCCTGAATTCAATGAAAGTTTGAGAATGAAAATAACCCAACTAGATGCAGTCATCAAATGTGAAATTTGGATGCTTAGCAGGGCCAGAAATTACTTAGAAGACCAACTATTGGGATTTGCACTGGTTCCCACATCGTTAGTGGCAAGGAAAGGCAAGGTCACCCAGGATTTCACCCTCTCATCCACTGATCTCTTCCATTCACCCGCTGGAGCTGTCAAGCTGACTCTGTTTCTTAACACATCCCTTCCTGTCAGTCCATCCGCAAAGTCCTTTGATGATTCAGCGGCTAATTCATCCATAAGCTCAGAAGTCGTGTTGCTTGATCGCAAAACCTCAAACGCCAGATTGGATCCGGTTGAATATGGGAGTATAGAATTTCCTGATATCAATATAGCAAGGGAGAATCAGAAGTTGGTTTCTCAGTATTTCAACATGGCAGAGCGCAACTCTGCTTTGAGGCCTAGTTTGGCAGGACCTGCACCTTTCCTTCATCTTGGTGCCTGTTCAAAGTCGGTGGATGATTATGACATGACAATAAACTCCTCTGAGGAGAATTCTAGTGGATCTGTTTCTCCAAATGGAAGCCTCCAAAATTCTGGAATCTTTAGTTCTACTACTACTACTACTACTAGCTTAAGTGATGATGGGAACTCGGTTGACTCTATGGAGAAAAAGAGTAATGTGGCTTGTGATTCATCCAATTGTCAGGTTGTCTCTATGTCCATAGACGTTCATCAGAACTCTGGACCATCTCCAGATACTCCAACAACAAAGAAAGGAAACAATGTCACAGATGAGAAAGAGCTGAGTGTCACAAGCAAGAAAGAGGAGAATTCTAAAGGAGGCAATTTGGCTGCTGTTGAACTGGACCCAATATTCACTGCTCCTCTTGGGAACATCAACCTTGAGGCTGAGCAAACAGCAATGCAGCAGAAGATAGTTGACATTTATATGAGGAGTATGCAGCAGTTTACAGAGTCACTGGCAAAGATGAAGCTTCCCATGGATTTTGGAAAACCAGATTCTGATAACCTTGGTGATGTTATACAGAACCATACCAGCAAGTCAGAAACTGATAACAAGAAAAAGGATGGGTCAAGGGTATTCTATGGTAGCCGTGCTTTCTTCTAATTGATTCATGCAATTTAGTTGAACTGGGGAGCTTAATTAATTTACAGTAATTTGGCTATTCATGGTAAGTGCTAGTTATGACATAGGGTCTAAATCTTAAGGTTACTTTTAACTTCTTTGTTTTAGATGAGCAAAGTGTTTATTTTCTTCCCTTTTGTTATTGACATAAAGAAGCCTTCTGTTTTTCTCCTAAGGAGTGGAGATATAGACCCTCTGCTTACAGACCTAAAGTGTGAAAACTTGACCATCCATATTTGTCTGTTTTCCTCTCTCAATTATTTATTTTGTATACTGTGATAACAACAATGTACCTTTATTATATTTCATCGTTGTCTTGTTCTTTGACGTTAGAGATTTTTTAGTTTCTATGATATTTATGTTCCTTGAAAGTAATAGTTGTTGAACAAATATGCTTTATCTTAGCAATAATTAATGCAGAAATTACATCAAAGCTAGTGTAAATGTTTTAGTCTGGCAATTCATCATACAATTTTTCTTCCTTTTACCTGGTTTTTCTCCCAAATTCCAACTGGTTTTTGTTATAATCCTTTTGGCTCCAACAAGACATCTCAGCAGAAGTGGCTTGTTCCTCATTTATTATTCTTTTGGTTTATTTCCATAAAGCTTGAGTAGTGGTAATGTCTGAAGCTCTGAATATCAGCTACTTTCAGTTACATGAAATAGTTATACAATCATGATTTCTTGTTTTAGTTTGTGTGATAGCATCCTGTTGGTAGTATTGCTGTTGTACCCTGTTTCCGACCATGCTGGTATTAAATTTCTTTCCTATTTTCTTGAATGTACTATTTTTCGTTCTGTCCTTCATCTTTTTCTTCTTTTTCCTTCTTTTTTGTTTGGCAAGAGAGGGTTTTCTAGTCAGGTCACTTAGCAAGCTTCCCTAAAAGACCTAGAAATCTTCCATGTGGCAAATTAGATTTTGAGCTAAAAGCAATCTCCAAATTCCTCTCCCCATTCCCTATTCATGGAAAAAATTACTCAAAACATATTGCCACATGTGCAAATTAAAATAAGACCTCTTTCATAGGTCAGTTTTAAATTAAAAAATTGAAGTTTTGAATGGCTACTGCAAGTTATGAAAATTACCAATACAAAGGTAGGGTATATGGCTGATATGGGCTGTGGGATTGAATATGTGACGTATCCAGTGGATCCTGATGGACAGTTTAGATTGAACACAGAGTCCGTCCACGTGGCAGAGACAGATAGGTCCATCTTGGAGAATTCGCTATTTGATCTGATTAGAAAACCTGTTTCTATAGGAGCCATTACTTGGTTCAATGGTAAAATCTTGGGCTGACAAGTGTGAGAACTGAGTGCAAGTCTAAGTCTCAGAACAGACACTTCATTCTGGAAAATGCCAAAGGTTAGGTCTGTATCCAGTCCGCTTCTCCCAAGACCCTGGATAGTCAGGACCAACATTACATAATGGCCCTTTATATATAAGAATTTCTAATAGACTCGTAAAGTATTGTGGTAGACTATATTGTTGCTTCTTTCTAGCATTAAACAGCATATTCAAAATTTTGTGATCTTCAGACAATGAAATGCATGAATTAAATCTTAGCCACATTATTTTTGTGTAGTAATAGAAACTGTTGAGGATCTTGAATAGTTTATGCACCAATTAGGCAATTATGGGTGGATAATGTCTAGGTTCTATTTTTAGTTTCCTTGTAAAAATGTTTATGTTTTGTTCTCTGGTCTGCTTTCCTATGCCATCCATTAGTTTTTTGTACCACTGAAAATGAACAATTCAGTTTCTTCTATCTAATTTATATTTTGTGATGGCATGACATGAACTTCTTTTACCTTTATCCAAATGGCATATCACAAACTTGTTCACTAAAATGGAAGCTTGAGATGTAAACAAAGAATCCTCTAGACAGGCAATAATGCAAAGTTAATAAAGAATTTGCACATAAGATCAAAGTATGCAGGTAATATAAATTTGCATTCCTAGCATATGAAATAATTTAAATTTTATGTCAGTTAAAACAAGTTCTGACTGCTAGTTATAGAAGAAATTATTCATGTGAATCAACAAAGTCAATTGTTACTCACTACTGATATCTTGGGTTATGAAACATGTCTTGAGAGCAGTTTAAGTAGAATCCTACTCAAACAAAATGCTGGATTTACATAAAAGTTGCTAATCACTCTACTAAATGTTTGAGAGATATGTAATGGGTAAATAACTGACTCTTTTTTTAATTTGATCCATTAAAGGTAAGCCATTCTTGTGATACAATATAATAACAAAATACTGAGGATTCCCAACAGCATAGGATTTCCAGAATCTTACATAAAATAGAACATGGTGAAGCTTGTTCTCCCTTTCTCAGCCAACTACACAATAAAAATTGAAGTATTTCCTCATGACCATGTTCATTTCCTTGGGGGGAAAAGCGTTAAAATTTTGTTTTTCCACCCAAATTCTTATAAGTGCTAATTTTGGTGTTTTGGTTGAGCAAAGGAATTAGTAATAGTTTATGTATACCTAGTTTGTATGGTTTAACCAGTAACATTATCTGGTTTCATAAATTTATAGTGAAAATATGGCAACATAGTGAATGAACAGAAGGAAAAATGGAGAAACTAACCAAATGAAAAAAAGTACACCTAAGATAGGGTTTTCCCTCTATAATTTTGATCAAATAAAACAGTTTGGTATGATTTTCAAAAAAAAAATATTAGGGTTTGAAATGGGTGAGATTGGGTTACGTTTGGTTAGGGTTAACCTTACCAACAAAGTATCCAACTGATGAGAGAGGACTTGGCCCTCCAGTGACATCATGACACATGGCATCTCGGAATAGTTGGATGACACCTAGGCACCACCTAGGTGATGACTTGCCCTAACCAAAGTGATAGAGTTCCATATCGCGATTCATCTTTGCCATCAACCTGGCAACCGGCCTCTGCCGCCGACCTAGCGATCGGCCTCCTCTGTCAACTTGGCGACCTCGACCACAACTTAGGGCGGCTAGCAGCACCTCGCCCAGGGCCGACATGTAGCACTTTGTCACCAGCCGAAGTGACCTCGACGTGAGGAGTGACCTCCCTCGAGGGCTTGCCGACCTGATTGAGGTTCAAGTGGTGACCTACGAGGCGTGCTCGCTGACCAATTCCGCATGCATGACACATCACTCCCGGGTCTCTCAGAAGTTGGTCCTCGTACCGAATGTTCCGGAGGAGACCAAGCAAGGCGCGAAGATTGGTCTATGTGTACGACTACCTCCGAGGACTTTGGGCCGATTAGGCATGACCTCCCGGAGGCGTGAAGCCCGCGCCAAACAACACCTATATAAAGGCCTCACCTCCAACCTCACAAGGTAGATGCGCAACGTAGCTCTCTATCTCTCTTACTCCCATCTCTCTCACAAAATCTCCGCATTCGCTAACTTAAGCATCGGAGTGCCCACCCTGGGTAAAGAAGCCCAGGCACTCTGACATTGCTCCCTTGCATGTCTCTCTAGAGGAATATACAACTCATCGAATTATTTAGCTTGGCACCCAAATAATCTCTTAGCTCGGCCTAGTCAGCTTAAGAATAGAATACCTCCTAGCAAGGGAACTTTAGCTCAGCTTCTAACTCACTATCTAGTGCGGGAACTAACGAAATGCGCATCATCAATTGGTGTCGTCTGTAGGAAATGCAACAAAAGCTAAGTTCCCACCTTCTAGTTTGCTAAGTTCTCACTTTCTAGTTTTCACCTTTATCAACTCAATGACATTTTTGAGAAGCACCTACATCAAGAACGAAGTGTTAGTTACTGGGGGCAAGAGCATTTGTGATGAACCTTGAGAACCCCTTTGTGACAATCAAGTTTAGTGCCCTTAGCACTTCCTGGAGTAGCAACCGTGCCAAACCCAACACTCCCATTACCCCAAACAAATACACCGCAACCTCATTAGAATGCCCCTCTCCCCACTGTAAAGCTACCAGTGGTTCTTGCCGGGATTGAAGTGCGACAGTTTTATGAGCTGAAGCATGAATCTCCAGATGTGGGCATGGGAGGAGAAGTTTGGTGCATTCATACCACTGCAAAATAAACAGTAATAGAACGACCTCGACAATCAACAATCAGGCAACAGGCACCTTGGAGTGAGGCTGACCCGTAGGTCGAGCCCTTTATGGTTCCCACGGGGTTTGGCGGCCAACAAACTATGAAAAAGCTCTGTTGACCTCAACTCATTCTATGTTTATACTCAACAACAGTCAATTCGGAAGAAGCCTCATCAGCTCTGTTTTGCGAAGTTGCCTCTATAGGTTGAGTGGCTCTCACAGGAGTTGGAGGCCAATGGACTACACGAACGCCCTTGCAAGTTGAGCCTTCCAAGGCTCCCGTGGAAGCTGGCGACCTATAGTTAGTAGAGTAGCCCCCACAGGTCAATCTCCTTATGGCCCCTCGTAGGAGTAAGCGCACATCATGACTAATGCAGTGTAGTCATGGCACTGAACTACCGGCCAATGCCGACAACAACATACGTATTAGCAGCCATCACAAGGGGGGTAGAACATGAACGACTAGCTTGGGCGAGCTTCAACGATCTGAACCAGATTGTCTCCCAGCCCGAACTGCAAAGCCTCACTACTGATCGAGCTCTGTATGGCTCCTGTGAGAGTTGGAAGTGAATTGGATGTGGAACTAGCCTAAGGTCGAATCCTTCGTGGCTCCTGTGAGAATAGGTGACTTGCAAACAGCAGAGCCACCCCCTCAAGGTGAGCCTCCCATGACTCTAGTAGGAGCGGGTAGCCAATAGTTTTAGGAGCAGATGGTACATGTACGACATGATCTCGCAAACACCTACCTGGGGAAGCCAATCCCAAGTGACGACATAAAAGCAGCCACATTTAAGGCTACTATAGAACGACCATCTGCTTTGGAGATCTGGTCAAATTAAGTTCTAAGGGAGCCATGCCGCTTTTTAGCTAAGGTGCCCTCAAACTGACCTTGAAGCACATCGACAACAGGAAGACCGGCCTCACAGTCGACCTCCACCTTGGTTTTAGGCTCCATGTTGATCTCGCCGGCTACTCTTTTGAGAACCGGCTCGATGGACATTGTGTTGTAGTCTACCTGAGTGGAGCGACCTGACATGGTAGTCACACAGTTAGAACTCCCTCTTGAGGATGACATAATGAGCTTCACTCTTGAGGTACTTAGTTGGATTGTAGAACTCCTTGACGGTTGCATCCCTAATAAGGTAGATGTCCTTGGGGTACCTGCTCCACCTCTCCTCGAGAGGATTAATTCGCTCTCGTGCCCCGATGATCAAGACAGTGAGGTCCCGCATAAGGCTGCATTCAGCACTTAGGCTCTTCTGACC